TTTCTCTCTCTCTCTCTCTTTCTCTTTCTCTCTCTCTCTCTCTCTCGTTGGCTTACGCAACATCATGAAATATGGAGATATTCGTTAGAGATTTTCATCTGTAATGAGCGGGTTTACGACAGTCCGTGCACACGCACGAATCATGATCAGCCCTGCATGCGAACATCTGGCCATAGGGAAGACGTATACCCTGCGGTACATGATGTTCATGAACATTAATATGTTCATTATTATGTTCATTTTATTGTTGTTTTATCATGTTTATTGTTTATTTTATTGTTTATTAATTATGTTCATTATTATGCTAATTATGTTCATTATTATGCTAATTATGTGCATTATTAATATATTCATGAACATTATTATGGTCAATGTAGTTACGACGTCGGTGGAAGGGTTACACGTATAGGAACACAAACAGAACTAGGAAATATAACATGATACAGAACAATGAGATATAACATGGAAGAGAGCGAAGAGATATAACATGGAAGAGAGCGAAGAGATATAACATGGAAGAGAGCGAAGAGATATAACATGGAAGAGAGCGAAGAGATATAACATGGAGCAGAGTAAGGAGTTATAACATGGAAGAGAACAAGTAGATATAACATGGAACAGAGTGAGTAGAAATAACATGGAACAGAACGAGGAGATATAACATGGAACAGAACGAGGAGATATAACATGGAAGAGAACGAGGAGATATATAACATGGATGAGAACGAGTGAAAGCGATAGAAGGTCACGCATTATAGCGGTGAGCTATATGATGTCCTTTACAACCCCTACAACTACTACGTGCTGGTTGTCATTTCGCTTGCTCGCCTCTTCTAATAACATACTATCTATCAGTGAAGCGCGTGCATGCATGCGTGCGTGCGTGCGTGCGTGCGTGCGTGCGTGCGTGCGTGTGAGAAACGTGACGAGAACAACGAGGTATTGTTTCTCACACATAATTAATCCGGTCATACAGCTGGGTAATTGGCCTTGAATGAATGCATGCACACATGCATGAGTGAGTGAATGAATAAAAGAACGAGTGAATGAGTAAAGGAAGGAAGGAAGGAAGGAAGGAATGAGAACGATATAACGTAGGAACGAACGAATAAATAAAGTGCCAAACAAATGCACGAAAAGTTGAACCAATAAAAAATGTCACGCTAAATTGAGTTGACACATGCAATAGTTTTAGATTAATAAGAGAAACACATCGAAATGTCTTATATAACGCAACCGAAACAAATTTATTAAAGTTATATCCAAGCCAACATTTCATACCGTCTGACGAATAAAATAATATACTAATATACCTTAAAAATATAAGGAAGCATTTTTTACAATGACACATTACACAATTCAAAATATCCGTTTCCGATTCCGCTAATAAAAGCTACATAATCCTGCAAAAAAAGACGAAACCACAGTTTGCAAAGCGTGAGTCTGATTAAAACACGCTGTAGATACAAAATTGCAGTTACGTAAAGTGCGACACGCTCGAAATCAAATCAACCAATAAATCAAAAACGGGGAAGGACACAGAAGTCTGCTCAATGGAGCCGTGGCCGAAAACCAGAGCGCAGATATTCTGAGACAGTTCGCACGGAATCTTATCATTATTTAGTTAATTAATTAGTTAATTAGGTGTTAGTTTTGATCTATATACGGCTATATATCCAACAATAGACCAACTATGATGGCGTTACGGTAAACGCCAACATTATCCTTTATATGCTTATATTTACAGTCAGCGTTGCCACCAGCTTTACGTGGAAAAAAAATCTTTTAAAAAGCTATCGCTGAGTAAACTCGTAAAACTAATTACATGGTTAATATTACGTGTCATTATCTGACACTGCTAGCGCTGTGTGTGTTCTACCTCGCGCTTCCCTCCATAGACCCAATATTAGTTGCTATATATATATGTCATGGTAGTATATAGCAGTTAGCGGAAGTAGAAGTAACTCACATCGTTGCGCTAACCTTTTATCTTTCAGTAATACAAATTATAATCATCAGCCTAACTATAACTATGTATAATATATATATATATACATATATAAATATATATATATATATATACATATATATAACGGCTAAGAATCGTTGCCGTTACTTCCTCGTATATCACATGATTGATCTGAAACGTTAATTTTGGCTAAATGCAATAATCGCTATAACGTAAACAAAGTCACACTTTGTTCAACGTTCTCTCGTTCACGCGGGGCAGTGCCACACACGCACGTACGCACGCACGCACGCACGCACGCAGACACGCACACACGCACGCAAGCACGCAGCAACTAAGTCTCCTGCAATCGATGCTATCAAAGACCGTATATGATACGCTATATAGAATATTATACACGCGGTCTTTGATACGGTGTTCTATCGACCGTCGATGACGTGACACACACAGCTCTAATACCCGCTGAGAAACGAAGGCACATGCAGTGTTCCATCACGCAATTAACCTACGCCACAGCCAGGGTCTCCGCAT